TGAACAGGTTTCTGATCACTTGCACCGGTTTACGTGTAATTTCTGTTCCTGTCATTACCGATCACATGGAGATCAGCGGTGTGAAGCCAAAGGAAAAGAAGCCAGACTTGGAAGAGGAACCATAGTTTGGCATTTGGGGGGAAAAGGAGGCTATTCCAGGCATAGAAAATGGTGTTACCAAAGGGAGGGTGCTGCATGCCTTTTCACTTCGAGTTTAACTAATGGCGTCAGGCAGAAGTTCCCAAACTTTTCCTTATTGCATCCCCCCTTCCAGACTTACCAGCTGCCTGTGTACCCCTACCAGCATACATTTTATATATTTAACCCCTCAAATACCAAGTATTATTATAATGAAAACGAAATCCACCATTAAGCAATTTCTCCTGCGTAGCCCCCAGAGATGTCTTGCCTCTCCTCAGGGGTATGTGTACCACAGTTTGGGAACCCCTGGCTTAAGGGATGGATCTGAAGTGCTGGAACAGAAGAGGTGCTTGACAATCACATCATTGGAAAACCTCAGAGTTTATGTTTCACTTCAGATCCTTGAAAGCTGGGCTTACTCTGTCAGCTAAGTCCTGCTCCAGTTACAGGCTAGCGTGTCAGTCATGCCAGCAGTTCTGTTGGTGTTATTTGAGTAAATATGCTTGGAGCTGGGAATTGCACATGATTTTGGGCAGTGCCACAGAAGAAAAAAAACTCTTGCTGAGATTTAGTTAAGGGTGGAAAGCTTGCTTTCCACTGTGAGTGCTCAGATGGGGAGTGTTCAGGGAAAATTTAAATTAAATTAAACCACAAAACTGAGTTCCTGCTACAAGAATATGCTTGTTGAAACCCTTAGTTTGACCAAACTTCAGTCCATACTGAGAGCATTTTTTTTTAAAATGAGTAACAGATTCAGGGAGTGAATGTTAATTAGTTATCTGTTATCTTTTACCAGTCCTGCTAAGCTACATCTACTCATTTATGTTGAAGTTTTAAATGACAAACTCTTTGATCACATTCTTGGTAATTGTCTAAAACATCCTACTAGTGGATCCTTTATTCTTTCTGTGCTTGAGAATTTTGCTGCAGAAGCAACTGTTTGTGACCCCTAGTGAATGACCTGATGCCTTGGGTCAGTTTTTAAAAAAATCCTAACTTTTTTTTTTTGCCTTTTGATGTTGACCACAAAGCTGCAGAAGAAACGACACCAAAACATGTATATGAACATGAGGCTCACACAGGACAACATACAGACTTGCAATTTTGTTCTTTACCTCTGCATAGGGAGCATGAATGCATGCTTGGCCCCAGGCTCTGCTGACACGACTTCTGAAGTTGAGATGTATACAAGGAAGTAAATGCAATGCTGTGTGTTTGGTTTGTGCACCATGCACAAACAGGGAGAAATGTTCAGAAAGTAGAAAAGGTTAGGCTATAGTAGGGAAATCTGAGGGAGGGAATACTAATGATTTAAGACACTGGATTTGGACTTCCCTCTCTAACCATGGGGAAATCGCGTGTTCTCTTAACGCTTCACTTTCTTACCTTATCTATTTGGATTGTTAAGCCTTTGAGGTTGGTCTTGCCTGTGTGTAGTAGCTAGCCTGGTAGGACCCCAGTCTCAATTGTAGACTCTACTGCAATGCACATAAAATAAGATTATTTTTCCCCCCCACCCATCTCAAAGAGCTGTATGTGCCCAGGGAAAACCCTCAGGGACTTCATACACACCTTTGCAAACTTTGCCTTAGATGAGCAAGTCTGCTACTGTCCTCTTGGCTTTTATAATTAATCATGTTACGCATATGCAATGGTCTTCAACAACAGCAACAAAAAGATCAATAAATTCCTAGTATTACATACTCTAAAATATTTAGGCATGTGATCCAGATGTGGCCATAATTCCACTTGTTGTGTAGCAAAAGCTTGAATCCAAAGTGCATAGTTCTCATGCTGTAGTAAAAATGTTAATGCGAGGATTAAAGAAATATTTAGTTGTTGTAAACAAAGCAGGACAGTTTAATTCACAATGGATTTATTGTTCCTTATTAGCCAGACAGCGTTCAGATTAATCAGTTGTGTGAGTAGGGGAATTCATTGGGACTACTGGGTGCTCGCTTCAGAATTCAAAAAATGAGAATATCTTCCTTTAATCCCAGAGACCTGTAAGCCTCCTGAATGAGTTGGAAATGGGATAACTTTTATATTTTCCCTGGCAGCTTTATCATCCAGGGTAACTGGAAAATAGTGACTTATCTGCAGTATACACTTTGCATCCTGTGATTGTTGGAGAAATCAATCAATGGTTCGGGTAATTCTTCCCCCCCATCCCTAAAAGATATACCTTCCATCTCAGAACCTTCCCTCTAGGATTTCTTATGGTTTTATTCTGTGATAGTTTAAAACTCCTCCATCCTTTCTATTGCAGCTTATAAAGCAGTTCTCCAGTATGTCGTTCCAAGCAACTCAAAGATACTTCAACCAGTTATTGTTAGCACCTTGTGGGTGCTTTGGCTTGCGAGCAGCATAACATTCGAACAGATAGGACTATACAGTTAGAATTGCAACAGCCAGAAAGACCATCTGTGCCACTGGATATGGGGGACAGAAGTTAATTCACAAATTAGCCTGGTCTTGAATTGATCATAAACAGAGTCCTGGACTGGACAGCACTCAAACATGTAAGCATGCTGGATTTCCCCTCCCTGGACATGACCATGCTTGTGGGGCCTATGTCTATGGTTATTGCCTTCTTTCTTCTTAACGTGGTTTAAATGAGACAGAGCCAAAATGGCTTAGTCCTGAAGACCCTTACTTGGTTTGGTAGTCCCATTAGCCTCGCCCTTGTTAAGCCACTTTCAATGAGGATTTCCTCTCCAACGCTGTTGAGCAATGGAAGTCCCAGACTCAACTTTCGGTCTCCTTTTCTTCTCCCTTGTTTGGCTGACCTGTTTTCTGTGATGCACTGTTCTGCCAGTCTTTCTCAAAGCTGTTTTGGCCTGATGAATGCAGTAGTTAACAGTAGCTAACTTAGCAGAATGGAGGTATGTAATGAAAGATAGATGAGGCCCGGTGAGCTGCCGCTGCTTTGATTTTAAAGTGAACCAAAAAGACATCTATCCTCCAAGCATCTGCCACCAGTCAAGAATGCTCCTGTCTAGAAAAGTGAAGCTGGCTTGCTACCCCTCGCTCTGAAACTTGAGAACAGCCAGTCAAAGACCAGATCAACCCATCTGGCAACTGCTACCACAAGTTCTTCTTATGACAACTGGTTTTATTTGCTTCTGGTTGGTTACTTACTAGGAAAATGAGAAGGAATAGGCATGGAATATCTTTAAAGCTTTGGATCGGGCATGCTGGGCAGTCAGGATTATGTGCAAGGCAGCAGCTTGCCCTGATGATGAAGGATAATTGTGTTGCATCTCTAGACTGAACTATGTGGACAATAGGATTTTTTCCCCACTGGTCAAAATGGTTAGAAATGTTAAGGGCACTCCGTTGATTTTTGTCAGATGTCAAAGGATTTTTGAGCATGCTGTTTGTCTTGTTGCATATCTATCTCTTTTTTTCATGGTGTGCCTTTTCCTCCCACTTTAAATTAACGGCAGGAGTGGAATGGCCTGATTCAGAGCCTATTGAAATCAATGGGGAACCTCTTTGGTGGCTTTGCAGGGCTTTGTTTTCGTTTTAGATTGCTACAGGATAATGTTTACAGACCTTATAGGTGTGATTACTCCAGTGATCCTGTTTTTCTAACAGATAACATAATGCTGTTGTAAACTATTTGAAAACAAGGCAGGAGCACAGATGCTTTGCCTTTTTTTTTAAAAAAAAAAAAAAAAAAAAAAGGAAAAAAATTTGTGCCCTTGCTTTTTTTTAAAAAAAAAAAAAAAAAAAAAAAGGAAAAAAATTGCATTGTAATGTCTGACCCTTGATCCTCAGCTATACAGAGTGGTGTTTGGGGAGAACCACTTCAAAACCTGAGCATTTTCATTCCTCTTTCGAATTGTTACAGCGTGTCCCCAAAACAACAGAACCTATATATAGTGAATCAAAAACAAATGATTTTACAGATAATGTGGGTTTGCAAATACAAAAAGCATTCGTGTAATGTCGCATCTGTGCTGCTGCCATGGATTTATTAAGATGAGTTCCCTGGGTCATTTCACTTCCCTGGAAATACTTTGATTCACACTGTGTGTGACAAACCAGAGGAGAACATTTTGTCCAGCTATTCCCAGAAGGGAAAGCTCGTGTATCCATATTTTGCTGATGCCTACTGAAGGGGAGAAATAAATAATGGCTAATTAAAAAAAAAAAAAGTCTTACACACTGTAGAAGGCAAGGGATCTTGTATTGGTCCTCCTTTGATTGGTTTAGAAAAAGACAAAAAAGTATCCTTCTGGGTGGCATGCTCTGCCTCCTATGACATCCTACACCTCAGTCCAGGCTTAGCAAACAGGTCTCTTTTGAAGCACGTGTCGGGATAGAAGAGGTGCTAAAACTTGAGCAGCACAGTAGACATCTTTTGAGCTGAGAGCATCAGGCACACAGTTTGATGGCACAGCACTATTAGCTGCTTCTTGAGTACTTATCAAGGGCTTGCGATAGCAATCTGTCATGCCAAGTAACTTCTTCCTTGGAAATTAAAGCAGTTATTTGCTGGAAGACGTGGTAGGATGTTGTTACCTTGGGTAACTGGTGGCAGGGTCTGGCAGCCTGGAGATTTTCACGAACCTTTTGTGACATTTTAGCAGAAGCTATTATTAAACTCTCCCGAAGAAAAGAGGATGAAGTTTGTATACAACACGCAGGGAATTTGTGTTCTGGTTTTGTCGTCCGTCCACGTGCAGCCAATATAAATTCAGTCTTTAACTATCTATCATTTTTTTTTCTCCCCTTGCAAACAGAAAATGGGTGAAGGACTAGCCAAGTTACGGACAGCGCGAGAAGCTCCATCTGACTGCGTATGCCCACCAGGTATGTAGAACGGTGCTGTTTTATTTGTGCCACTTCCAAGGTCTGGCTGTCTGTAAATTAAGTCCTTTTTTCCTGGGTTAATTATGCCCACAAGCCTTTCTTTTAGCTGCTACTTTGTATTTAGTGGAATGTGCCGAAGAGTTTAGAACTCCCTAGGTGAAGCGCCCTTTTCTGATCAGCGGAACTTTTTTCCCCATTGTCTTGCATTGACCTATTTACATGAAAAAGGAGTACAGGGCTAGAGGGGGGAGGCATATGCACTATTAAATAACCTTTTCGCTCTAATAGAGTCACTGAGCTGCATGCCCTGAATAGTTTGCTGAATAGTGGTATTTAAGTGGCATCAATATCTCTGCAGCTGAAATGTGTGTGATAATTGAAAGCTCTTGCACTCCTCCTTGTAGGCTGGTCGAGCTGCTTCTCCGGCTTGCTGCGCTGCATGAAAGCTGTCACTGACTACTTAAATTCCATTACACAGTTTAATGAACTTCCTAAACCGTCGGGACTTCCTGCTCTGCTTTGCCAGGGCACGCTCCTTGGAAACAGTCAACATCTTCAATTAGTTTGTGTGGGAAATTCATTTACACAATACATCCTGAAGGCTCTGCTTGTATTAGTAATAGTAAGGAGTTTAAATTACTTGCACTCTGGTGTATTTCTTTTTCTTTTTGCACAGATGGAAAGATATGTGAGTTCATGTTTGTACAAGACTGTGACGTTGCAAAATGCATAGAAGTGCTAATATTTAAAAAAACATTTATAGTCAGTAGTGACTAAATAATCCTTAAAACAATATAGACTGCATGCTCCATGTGGAGTTGTCTGTACACCATGTGCAGACAAAGAATATTTTCAGCATTTGAGATTAAAAGCGTCCAGATGAATCACTCTCCGTCGTGTACAGAAACCAAAGTCACCTAAGTGGCATTGATTAAGACAAAGTTATTTTGGTACACAAAGTGTAGTGTTACAACATTTGGAAGCATAATAGACAAAAAAGCACGCTGGGATTGTCCTTGTTTGCCGGACATGAGACCTATCCGAGCCTGGCTCACAGCATTACTCTTTACTCATGAGACAAAAATGAGGGATTTTTCCTTTGATCTTAAGCCTTGAAATTCTGCATAATAGTCTTAAATATTTCAATGATGGCTCTTCTACATGCACTAACGCAATTGTAGTAATTTTATTTAACTTATTTGCTTGCGGTTAGCTAATGTGAGCGATCTTTATGCTCCAAGTCTGGACTGATTGTCTTACAACCAAACTAGATTAGCTGAGACACAAATCAGGGTTACTTTAACCCATGTTAGAATGTCAGTCAAAGTCTGGAAACAAGACCCATTTTTCTCATGCACATCTTAGCTCCAGGGGGAGAAAATTAACTTTGCTTCCTCGGAGTTTCCAACTAACAAGAAATGGCCCGCTGGTCTTTGTTTCTGCTCTAGGACTGGACAGAATATAGCCTGGAGTCCCAGTTCAGCAAAGCAAATGGGCTCTGGGGACATATGGCTCAGGGAAGGATCAGACTCTTTGGCTAAGTACAGACGGTCAAGAAGCCTGAGGCTGAATCAATTTAATTTTTGCAGGTTAGTCTAAGCTGTGTAGATTGAACTGATAAGCAAGTGAACAGACATTCACTTTTGATTCTGGAAATGCAGCCACATGCCTGCAGTGACCCAGGCAAGAAGCTGGGTGGGGGGGGGGCTAG